ATTAAGTAATATATTACAGAAGACCTCGCTAATCCGGGTGATACCCAGGGTCCTTATTCTCGAAACTTTCGTAGCCCTAAGAATTCTTAACTTTGATCATAGCCAATGTGTTAAGAATGGGCTTACGAAGTTCGTAGGGCTACGAACGTTTCGAGAATAGCTAGCCAGCTTATCAACTGTTCGTGAAGAAATGTTCATATAAGCGTTCAGTCCTCGTCCGTAGGAGAGGGGTTCCGGATACACTAGGTTTTGCTGTAGTACTAGGTAGACATATTGGACAGTACAAGGAACGGTACTTCATTGAAACGTGTATTACACATGTTCAAGACAAGCACTATCGTAGTTTATATTTTCCGCGAAGCAGAAAGCAGGCAATATATTTGCGTCTAAGAATCACCCTTTCAGATGAGAATATATGAGGTTTGTTTGAACGATGTTTTTTGTTACAGCGATGATTAGTCTTGTGATGTACAGCATCAGATTTAGAACTTAGGTTTCTACTCGAGAACTGAAGAACTTGAAAAAAAATATTGTCCATTGATATGAAACTGCAAATATTGTCCTACATGTAGGTCTTTCCATACGCTTTCGTATCGCTATGACCTATTCTCCCAGACTTGAACACACCACGCACATTAAAGCTAGGCTTACAGTACTCGCAGCTGTAACATCACATGCAGCATGATATACAGTATATCAATACAGTATACAGTACATTACGATGTATACAATATATTACAATGCAGTACACAGTATTTCACATGCAGTATACAGTATTTCACATGTAAATCACATGCAGAATACATAATACCACATGCAGCATACAGCATATCTAATGAGGTTTAGAGTATATCACATGCAATATAGATTATATTACATGCAATAATCATTATATCACGTGTAGTATATCACATGCAGTATACAGTATATCACATGCAGTATACAGTATATCACATGTAGTACACATTATATCACGTAGTACACAGTATATCACATGTAGTACACAGTATATCACATGTAGTACACACATGTAGTACACAGTATATCACATGTAGTACACAGTATACCATGTAGTACAAACATGTAGTACATAGTATATCACATGTAGTACACACTATACCACATGTAGTACACAGTATATCACATGTAGTACACAGTATATCACATGTAGTACACAGTATATCACATGTAGTACACAGTATATCACATGTAGTACAAATATCACATGTAGTACACAGTATATCACATGTAGTACACAGTATATCACATGTAGTACACAGTATATCACATGTAGTACACACATGTAGTACACAGTATATCACATGTAGTACACTGTATATCACATGTAGTACACTGTATATCACATGTAGTACACTCTATCACATGTAGTACACTGTATATCACATGTAGTACACAGTATATCACATGTAGTACTATGTATATCACATGTAGTACACAGTATACCACATGTAGTCTACTATACAGGTTATCGGAAGTATTTCACGGAAACCGTCTATAGGCGACATATTACGGTGTATATCACATGTAGTACACAGTATACCACATGTGCGTCTGCTATGGTATGCTGTACAGTGAAGGATACATATTAAGTGTAGGGGCTCCAGGCATGTAAGGTACAGATAAGTATGTGATAGGTGCAACTGGGATACAACTGGGATATATGTGGAGACGACAACACTGTCTGTCCATGTAGCTATTTAACACTCCACGTGGTTGACGTGAGCGCGGCTTTCTCCCTAACGGGATATATAGGGCAAATAAATCACCTGTTTAACTGTTGTGGTTGTGATTGACTTGGAGTTGGTATTGGGGTTGTGAGGTTACGGTAGGAGTTTGTGCACGTGATTGAGGAAGTAATTACTAACCCTTATAGTCAATCATCTAACATCATCATGTGCAAAACATTACTATAATTGATAAAGCAAATGCTCAGTAGGAGGCAATATTTGCAATAAACGAAATAGATGACGAGTTAATAGCTAAAATAATTTAAAATAGTTATAATCTTTGAAACAAAACTAACGTGATACCAACTCTATCGTTGATACAACGACCAGATTAACTATGACTTATACCTAGAATGTCCTTGAATATCAACCTATAAATACCTTGGATCTCAGCTCGGAATAACAATGGATGTAGGATGATAACGGTTCCTCAAAGATTCATCTGTGAATAGTTTTGAAGCACCCCTGTGACGTACACTACCGTGCCAGTGAGGTAGTGAGTGAGTTGGGTTCAACGCCGCGTTGAATGCCAGTTAAATCAGATCAGCTTAATGCGAGTGAAAAAAAACCCAAACTGATGGAGGTCTCCGATTTACTACTTTGGGGAAATGGATGCAGGTGCTGAGAAACAAGGAACATTATCTCGTCGGAAATGCTGTGCAATACATCACGGAACAGGGTGAGTCGAGGGTGAGTTTTTGTCAGAGAACAATGCATATAAACGACCGGTAGCGTTGACTTAACAGCGTTCATTTATATTCAAATGTTTCGGCCTCAACAAGAAGACCGGTCATGTGGTTCCACGATGGACGTACACGTGACCGTTGGTCATACTGGTATGTATATTTTCCCACAATGTAGTCAAATATAGAAGTACTTCAGTCTTAACACAAAAAAAGCACAAAAATTAATGATGTTACGTTCAATGTTGCGCTGGTACTGAGTTTCACGTAAAGAGAATGTATGTCAATTAAACTGCATTTTGTCGCGTTATAACTGTGTATGAATTTAATTCCCGTATTATTTGCCGTTCCTTGTTTGAAATATTTCGAAAATACAAGGACTGAAATATTAGTCGGGAATAAGGGTTTCTGAAACAAACTAGTAACGTTACAGGAGCAAATAATGACAGAAGATTTCTGAGACTATTTTGAAATATACATGCATGAGGTGATGAAGAGAATATGCCACCAACTGCAACATGTATATCCGTCACGTAGGAGTTGTCAGTGAATCATGTTATTTCTGACTTAAAGTTTAAACAGAAACAAAGTACTGGCCACATTAACCATGGCCTTATGAAAGAATAGGATAGTCTTGATGTTCTCTTGAATACTTTGTTTCGGACAGCGCCTTCGGTCAATCGGAATGCATTGTCAGGAGTTATATCGCAGGAACGTGTATACGTTATCCAATTTAAAGTAGTGTCCAGTCATAAGAACCTGTAAACCGTTTCTGCTACTCTTCCAGAAAGAAATGCTTATAAAATCAGGATATTCTGAATTCCTAGGAATTTGATGAACTGAGTTCGGTTCAGACAACTTCACTCGTTTCAGTGAGGAGACAGGGCGTAAGGCCATAGTGACAAATAGATTGGAGTGCTCGTTCCGTATTACTCAATACAAACTAGCTTAGAGGGTAGATTGAATGTATATGTTTCAAATCAACTGATGATATGAAAAATACACAAAATGATAAGAATCCATTTAAAAAATAGCTGTCATGAAGTTGAAAGATAATTAATTCATAAAAATAACAATTTCATCAAAGCCATAAAGGTTGATAATATTATAATTAAATGAGAGTTTTAGTCCGAGAGAGAACTGGTCGAGTACGGGCAAACAAACTATTTTTTCACTTGTCCTTACTTTGTACACACCGAAGGATCAAAACTATTTGGGCCTAAATCAAAACATAACAAGGTAATTGAGTCAAAACATTTTCTTCCGATTTCATCGGGATAAAATATTTGTATCCAGACTTAAGTGTCAATATGCAACAAACAGCAAGGGAAGCTGTTTGACAAAGTGATAAATTTCTTAATAATAAACAATTATATTTATATTTACATTAAACAATTAAGTGATGTACAGGGTATATTAATATCACGTGATAACAAGATTATACATATACATAATCTACAGATGTGATTATAATAATCTCAATCGCCATTGCATTACATAGTGATGGTAATATACAGTTATTAACAATAACATATAGCGCATGCTGTGCGTAATATTCGTGACGTATTTACAACACTTCCTTTTTTGCCTATGTCAGTTTATAGTGCATAATATTATTATACAAACAAACAGCAACGCGGATAAAAACTCTTTTTCTGGGCCGCCATGCAGGTATCTTGGGCCCTGATAGAGCATACTCTCTTGCTTGACCTTGCTGTACATTAGAGTTACTTATACGAGTTGTGTTTTTGGTCAACATTTACAAACTGAAGGAGACTTTTGTATCACATTGTACACATGACGACCTTCAATGTGACCTTGAGGGTTAATGTCAGACTAACAAAGAAGACGTGCAGTCAATGACGCCATTCCAACCAACAAAACCCCAGTCTTTATGTGGTATATAATTGTTTCAATGTCAATATTTCGTTCGTCGATCAGAGGTTATTTTTTAAGTAGACATTGACTCCTATTTTTCGAAATAGCAGAAATCTATATCACAAAGCATGTTACGATTAAAAGATACAAGATTCGATTTAATATGACACGTCCTATAACTGTACACACCTATAAACACTGTCAGATGGGGATTTAAGCATCACTGTACACTATTTCAACACCACAATCTGTACATTCCATGGCAATGTGAAACATGCGGTTTAACAAGAAGCAACATAGATGGGAGTTATCTCCCCATGATACCGGAACTATAATGTAGAGTTATGACGTCACCTTTGAAAATGAATTAGACTGAGAAATAGTGAGTAAAAGTTGAACGTTCATCATGAAACATGATGGAAACGTAAAGATTCACTGAGATAACATCGTGGGTTATATGGAAATCACAATACGTTGAACATTCAACACTACTTAATCCTGAAACTACTCAAATCCATATAAAATGTTCCATTATGAGCAAAAAGGCTTTTTCTGAGTGTGACCTCAACCCTCGTCGACCTTGACCTCGGATTCTCGGGAAAAGCGCTGGGGATCAGGTGTCAACTCATCTCGAATCGGACACTGGTATGATGTTGAGGACTCAGAACCATGATACATTTTTTGTGACCTTCTGATGACCTTGACCTCAGGAACACTAATGAAGTCATACACCCATACACTGATAAATTTGGCACTTGCTGAAACTATGTCCATGATATTATTCTATCTAGTCCGCTTTCTAGTCGAATATCTACATCTAGCCCATAGATGGTACCTGCAATGGAAAAATCCAGGGTGCTGTGAGACACAAATGCGTTGTATTAGTAAACAGTCTACAATTCATGGGCCGACAACTTAAACTTAGGGTGATTCGGCCAAAGGTACTTGGCTGCAACAGACACTGTAACCAAAGTGAGTAAAACTCTGAAAGTGGGTTCAAATGCGAGGTTTCACTGTCATAGAGAGAGTATTATTAATCCTGTCAATGAACAAGTAGGTGGTGGCACTAGTAATTGTTTCTTTAACATATTTTAAGGAGGAAAAAATCTGAAAAACATGTTGCCGACATGTATATATCCATATCTATATTTCATAAGAAACCTGTAGCCGACTTGTACAATCTCTACTCCTGTAGAAAAATGTACCCGGCCTGTACATACCTAAACCTCCATGGAAAACTAACTACCTATCTATCAACCAGTGAGAAGAATGTACCCGACTTGTACCTACCTATACACCCATGAGAAACAAGCTATCCGTTCACTCTGCTGCTAGACGTCTAGTAAATATCTGAAATAAGAAAATAAGGATACTTCATAGTGAGCAACATTATCACACAAGTATTAAACACATGAAGATCTCTATGCCAGTTGCCCTGCGTGTCGTGTACCATGGTACCTGTGAGGTACCAATGCCACAGATACCTCCTACTAATATTCCCGTCATTACCATAATAATTAAGAAAATATGATTTTTAATTGCTTATCTGAATAATCATCATTGCTATCTGTAACAATTTTTTAACATACACAACATGTTATTATGAGGTGAGCAGCAGGGTACGGGGAAGCTATCCTGGATCAATATATTTGTGTCCTGTACATCTTTAGCTTGCCGTTTAATACCACATTCGGCAATATTCCAGCTATATGGCGGCGATCTGTAAATAACTGACAAGACAATACAGTGATTGAGATAATCGATCTACGCATCTGGGACACAATGAGATGTCATACATCAACCAAGGAGCCTCTGAGGCGACTCACTGAACGTACTTTCTACCCACACACTGAGTATAACAAAAAAAATGCTTAATAAGTATCCTTACTAAATGTTAAAGATTTACTATATAATTACTTGCTCATGCTTATAGATTATTTGACATTTCGCAAAATAAAGTAAAATATGAAAGCTGGCAGAGGTGGGCCTTCGTGTGCCATTGTTTTGCTGACCACCACTGAGAGACAAGGTATGATGAACCTTACACCAGTCGTCAATACTTCACAGGTTTGTATACGCCACACCCCTCAACCACACGCCAATGTTTACAGCCTCTTACAATGTTTAACCAACCAATCTAGGCGCGACCTGGTAACAGTGAAAGGGAAACAAGTGTTTCTGACCAATGAGCGCTCAGGTTACATCGGCTATTTCTCGTGCAAAGACTGCCAAGACCTGACATCTACGCTTCACACTGCTTAATTGCCAGGCAGCGGTTGGGATGCTCAAAAATAAAGGACGGAGAGTGGTTTATTTGACTTCCATGATTGGTACACAAAGTTATTTTCTGACTCCTTTTTTTAAAGTTGACTCAAAACCAACACGAGTCACTGTCACACTGCACTGTTTCCCTTTGGCTTCACCAGTGGTGGAGGAACATAGCAGATACAAACCTGAGAAGTACTGGCGATTGCTTATAGCTAGTTTGAATATTTCAATAAACCAAATGATTGGCACCGACGTTTCTTTCCAAGCTATTTATCTTAGAATATGCAACAATAGGAAAGAAATATGATTTGAATATATAAGGTAAAATTTACATAACACACTACATCAGATAGTTTTCATTAGACATATTTAAAAAGTTTTCTAAACAAGCAGCATTGTGAAAACGAATTGTTTTTCCACAGAATGTTTTATAAACTGTGGTATTATACACTACTGATATAACAAACCTTAAATGTAATGTGTGGCAATAACTTTGACACGTGACTGATCATTCGTGCTCTCTCGTGTCACTCCGGATGACAAGCCGAATAGTTACGGAATGAGGCGACTGGCGACGAATGACTTCTTTAAATGCCATGTATAAGTTGGTAATATAGACACGGGAGATAACTCTATGGATACGCTTATGCATCGATCGCTTGACAACTCTTTGGTGTTCAAATCGAAATTTCGCAGTCATTGACATAACAATGTAGAATTATCTATAGAATTATCTCCCTTGGTGAAGAAGGATCTGAAAATCTCTTTCACATGGTACCAGCCCACCTCATCCACGATACATATGGCATGCTATATTGCTGTGTATATTGATAGCGTGAAGGATACACACGATGCAAGGATGAGAGTATAAACATGAGAACATGCCGAAGTACGACTAATATACTCATGCCAATAATGGTTGTCACACCCTTCAATTTTTAATTGGAGAGGGGGTGAGGGGGGTGGGAGGGGGGTTGACAGCCATTATTGGCATGAGTATACATGCTATAGGGCAAAGATATATTCAGTATGTGTCATAATACACCATCCATTGTTTGTATACATTCACAGAGACTCCATACATCCTATATGAAGAACAAATGATTATTGTGACAGGGTTGACGTAGCCAATGTACATAAGGGATGTAGCGATACACGCACCACAATGCGTATCTCAAAAGTAAAGGACACCATACTTGTCATAAAAAAGCGTTGTATGGAAACCTAGAAGGGTCATTGTCAGACAGCCGCTCCTCCTGAATGGAGTGGTCTCCCTTTGCTAAGGTTGTCAGTTTGCATTTGGCTTTTTCTCACGATATAGTCGGAATCGAACAATGGTGTTCACTTTTAGCAGAGATTTCTTGGAAGGGTTTTGCGGCCTTGTATTTTCTTGCTTTTATGGGCGACAATGATCCCCCGTCACTATATGGCTGGAATTATGCCGATGTGACGTAAAACCCAACTCAACTCTAGCCCCGACAATGATCCTTTTGGAATATCATTTAAGAATGTTTGTTTCATAACATATAACATATACTTAAATTGTCTATTGAAGAAAAACATTAAGTCGAATAACTTTTGTAGTGACTCTGGACATAAAATATCTAAAACAATTTCATGTTCCCTATTTTGCTCAGTGTATTATTGTTTTATTTTGTATATATGGTTGCATGTGTTATTATAGTAACATCTCCAAGCTTGAACGATGCAGTGAATCGTTACAGCCGCAGTAACCTCGTTAACTCGAACTCGACACATTCTCCAAGAGTAACGACGATATAACACGGTCCGTGTAGAAAGGTCAGTGGGGTTGGCTGCTTTGAACAATTTTTTCAGTTGACACTATTACATCGTGTCTGTTTGATGTGGGGGGAAAACCCGAAGTAAAGCAGGCCCTATAGGATTACCACTTTGTTGAAACAAAGCATACTGATGACAAACCGAAAAACAAAATTAGATAAAAAATGGGATTCGAACCTACGACCATATCGACAATAAAGTCTCTACTATGGATATTTCGATGTCTTTTCGATGGCACCTACGAAAATGAATTATTTCTGTCCGAATGTAACATGTTCAATGGCTAGGTAGTAAACGGTCTATCTAACAGATGAAAGTGCTGAGAAAGGAAAACACATTTCTTTATATTATTTAGGGGGGTTGTTTCCGTAAGTGTGAGCAGAGAGCGAATTAAACAGTTAAATAGAGCTGCATGTCTGAATAATGGACGCGCTGTTTATCAAGACGCGGAATCAATGCCGGAGCGTATGCAATCACGCACAAACAGGCACTAATCAGATTCTCCAAATAAATAATATATCCCCTAAAAACTACGTTTCCTGGAAACCGAGAGGTTTGAAAGCGTTAGAGATTAAAGAAGATTCCCGGAGTCTTCACAACAAATCATTTTAATAATACATTTCTCCTCACAACTGACGCTAACTGAGATATCAGTTTCCCCGTTGAGAGTAAACTACGTCCATGATAAATGAGGGGCGATATTTAATTTTACTATCACTCTGTTATTAATTTTATTATTACTCTATTATTAGGTTTACTATAACCCTATCATGAACTTTACTATTGCTCTATTACTAATTTTACTATTACTCTGTTATTAATTTTACTATTACCCTGTTATTAATTATACTGTTACTCTGTTATTAATTTTACTTATACTGTGTTATTCATTTTACTCTGTTATTAATTTTACTATTACTCTGTTATTAATGTTACTATTAAACTGCTACTCCGAAATCTATGCCGCTGTATATTTTGAATCGTTATATTTAAATTGAAAAGTTGATTCTTTCATTATAATTCCCTACACATCGTAGAGATTTTAGAACGTTATAGCCAGATATGTTCACAAAGAAACATGGTAATTTAATTTGCTATCATATAGAACCAGGCCATATCAAGAAGATCGTACACAGGGATGCAATTATTATCAAACGGAATGAACATGTTCTTTCTTAAGCTGGCTATAATGTTCTGGCCTAATGTGTTAACGGAAGACCCAGATGAATAGTTTAACCAATTTGAAACAGTTCCCTTTTGGTGATGCATTGTGGAAGCAATAACGAACAACTTTAAGACCTGGCAAAAGAAAGTCCACACTCATGTTTGATGGTGACCAAACTGAACAAGAAGATTAAAAATTAGAAAAAACCCAAACCAACCAAAACAAGAAGCCCGCATGTATTGCATACCTGCATCATTGTTGTGTTGTTGACGGTAAGTTTCACCGTTCCGGCGACTGTTTTCATAACGTTTATAATTATTTGGCCTAATAAAATGTTGAGGTATAGACTGTCTTGTACATGGTATGACTGGTTCATGGGCCCGATGAAACAAAATTATGTGAAAAAGAAAATTTATTTGTTTTCCTCTTTTGCTTCCCACCGACTGTTACCTGATACAGGTAATGACAAAACTTCAAAGCGGCACAATAAAGGAAACCTTTACCTACCGTTACCCAAGACATGTATTTTAAGTTAACATTCTCTTAAATGACCATTATTAAAAACCAAAAAACAATTGCCGCTTCGGTTAAGAAACACTTATATAATCATACTCCTGACACCACAGTACGTTTGTGTGTCCAATGTTTTCAATATGACATCAACGGTACTCTTGATTAGTTGGAGTGGTATTCTAGAAGTTGCTGGTATGGAGATGACAAGACTTTATGGATGACCAACTTCTTTATTTTCCCAATAGCAACGTTTCGGTATAGATTCTTATACCATATGCTTGAAAACGGCATAAGAAGCTATACCGAAACGTTGCTATTGTGAAAATAAAGAGAAGTTTTGTCATCTCCACGTTACTTTATCTTATGGTGTAATAGGTCAAGTTTAACATTAGAAACCAACATGCGATCTCTTTCGATATTAAATGATATACTTGATATCATGAGTACATAGATACACTTGACAATACATTCATACTTCAGGGGTGTACACAGAAACAAATAACTGTTGATACACATATGACGAGGCACGTTATAACAGTGCTATATGTCAGTGTGAAGCGTACAGAGAAACAGTCATTCTAGATCTAGGAGTCATTCCTCACAAAGCAAAGCCATGCTAAGGAATGCCTTCTTACCAACAACTCAAGTTTCACAAGTATTTATTTAGTCAATCTTAGCGGGTATACTTTCAATTTCCACGTATACAGGGCTTGTTGATTCCTCGCTGCAACACGTGCGAAGACTGAATTAAATACAAATTTATTAAAAAAACAAAATTATTCTAGGAAATCCTAAACCCTAAAATTTTCTAAAGTGATGGTCACATTTAAGTTTCTAAATCGATCCTGTTGACTGAGTTATAAGATGAGGAATGAGTGATGTTGACATTTAAAAAAAATCTACGTCATAGCTATATTCCACATATATACCGCAAATAATGAATATGACACATTGAGGATAAATTACCAAGGATATAAAGACGAAGGGACCGGTCATTTTATGGAATCATTTATGAGAGCTATTCCCTCTACCAAAGTAATAAATGACTGGTCCCTTACGAAGCTAGCTTATGGTGGCATTGCGTGGATGTGTGATGAGGCAAACTTCAATGGCAAGATATATCAAATGTTTTACAACACTTCAGATTACAGTCACACAAAATATGTTTCCACCACTTGATCACTACTATATACGATTACCGTCACCAGTACTGACTGGTAACCATATTGTATAAACACTGTCACGTGACTATCACAGATCGTGATGTACCTTTAGTAAGTGGTTCTGGACAATGGTTTTCTCCAAATCAGAGAGCATATGTGATTGATTATAAGCTTCGGGTCGAGCACAACACGGAATACAATGTAGAATGCAATTATTATGCTGTAGTGTCGCCGTTTGTTTATACAGAGAGCTTCTTGAGTATGGGCCAGCCCAGTATTTGTTTGCTCATTTTGTTTGTTTGTTTTGAGACAGTACTCTGCGTTATTACAGCTGTGACAACCTTCTCTAAAGATCGACCTTGAATCAGACAATCCAGGGTCGTTCTGTTTCTGTTTCAACCATGTCAGCCTCGCCGACAGATTACCAGTACTTAGATATCTCATCCGACAAGCTTTGGTTGCTGAAGACCATTTCGAACACGGACCTTCACGTTTTTGACTATGCTCTCGGTCTCTGAACAACAGGCCGAGAAGTTGTATTTTAAAAAATTGTGAAAGCCGGACACATCTGCGTAGCGACAATAATATGCTCCATACTGATGTGCAAAATACGAATTGTGATATTGTGAATTGTGTCATACGAATTCCGATATTGTGAATTGTGATTGAGTTAACGGAAGAAAATGTTGAATAACTTGAAACCCCTGAGTGTGGCACTTCAAACATTGGAATGGAAACATACGCTGTGCATCAGACTCTGTAGTGCTATCAAACGATGATCAGTGTCTTTGTAGGAGGCTAAAATAGCATGCCATAATCTGATTTACTTCTCGTGTGTTTCTTACCCTCACTGTTTGCTAAAATATTTGTTGATGATATGAACATGATTGATGAACACTTACCACCTATGTGGAACACCTGAAAATATATAAAGTAATGCAATTTAGTCAGAACATTGGAAGTGGAATGTTGATGATAAACTCCAGGCAGCAAATGGGTATTTGCTGGAAGCGTCTCACAAATCTTCCTAGACAATCACTATATGTATACAGGAGCACTAAGAAAACGTATATTCCTTTTTTGTAACATTTGGTAAAATGGTCGCAAACGTCCAGTTAAGTCGTTCTCGGAATTAGGTATAAAAATAAAATACAACGTGTCTGTGAACGGGTTCGTATCTCGTTCGAAGTGTTTGGAGATAGACTTGAACACAGAACCATTTCTTTTCTGATTTCGAGTTAAAGCTGAAGGATCAACTTAAAGTTTTCATAGCCTGCGAATTATCGAAAAAATGTCTTTCGCTACGATATATCACTATATTCTCTCACCATGAACAGCTGGAAGACTGTTGGGGCTATAAACAGTATTAAACACCCACTAAGACACAAGCACGTGTTTCTGCACGCAACCCTCCATTTTCAACATTTACAACCCACCATTTCTTCTTGGCGCATGCGTAGATAGATACAATAAATGAAGTTTCTTACGTTTACCATTTGAGCGGTTGTTCGGAGATTTCGAGTCACGTGACCGTCGTTTAGGAACCGGAGATGACGTAGCGGAAGCAGCCTTGCGATGATGTCTTGGAGACGGCGCTGTAGACAAAGCATAAGATGCCTTGGAATAATGTTTGTTCACATTAGGTTATCAGGGCGGACATGCGCACAAGTGTGCTCTTTGTAGCTTGATCCATATAAACAGATAATAGATTGTTGTGTAACAAGTATGTAGACAGAGCAGGCTGGTTCGCATGTAAACACAACATTCGGTATAGACGCATATACATTACTTTTGTTCCAGTGTTGCAGAGGAGACTATAAATTTCAATTCATCTTACAAACGAGTCATTCTAACCTATGATCTCTCACCTTGACATTCTTGTGGGTCATCGTTAAGTGTCCCTAGGGATCTTCTTCTGGGCCCCATCTGCGAGTCGGACCCATGGTGATCCCCAGACCCGTGTTTCTGCAACAACACAAACAAACGTATCTATAGGTTGGACAGAACATGACCTTCTCGACTAACTCAAGGCGTCGTCACCAACCAGTTCATGTGATTTTCACCAGTTTGTGGCCTTTTGCCCCCAATGGATTGTTTCGATGAAAAATTCAGACCGGTTATTCTCTTGGATAGACGTCATACATCACATTGTGCATTTACATCCATATCAGAACCGGTACGTTTGATAGCAGTCCACAAAACCTAGGCATGGTCACTAAGCACTGTCACCATCAAGTCGGGTACGTTACAGGAAGAGTCAATCCCTGGGGATTTCTGTAAGAGTATAGGCCACCTATGGTGGTCTCCAGGGACGGTGGAATGTATAGGGGGTTCATGTTCGTATCCCATTAGAGTTTTAAATAACATCAGGACCGGGTGATAAGTTTCTGTCACTTGGTCTATTCATGTTATCGTATTTCATTTGCGTAGATCGAATCGCTACGTAACAATCACTGGATTGTCAGGTCCAGACTAGGTTACTTACAGACCGTTGTCAAATAGCTGGAATAATGCTGAGGGTCAAACAAACAAACAAACAAACAAACAGAAACTGTCATACCTTTGAGCGTCCGTTGCTTCTTTTGCTGGGTTTTGACAGTTCTTGTGGCGGTTCCTGTGGTTCTATGGCATCAATGGCATGGTAGGGAGGCGGGACGCTCGACTTTGGCAGTTCAAAACTGGCACAAGGTACGTGGTCTCTTAGAGGGTACCAGTGTGGTTTGTTGTCAAGGAAACCCTCCTCTGTACAACAAAAGACAATAGTTTAACCTTTTACTTCATGTTGAACGCTGTTGCAGAATATATCACACAATATGTGCTCGGAAAGGATATCGCACGAACCTCCTCGAATTATGCAAGAATAATTTCTTCTTTAAATTAACAAAAAGCAAACAATAATTGTCTTTGCTTTCAATTTTTTTACTGATGTCTGTAACATGGCCATAATCACCTTGCACAGTGTCCTTAATAAATGTTAATACATACATAGACCTAAGTAGAAATGCTGAATAATTGTAGCGGTCAGATTTTTCACATACGTATTTTATATATAGTTTTGGGTGGTCTAACATGTGGAGGGGGCATGCGTGGCCCAGCACAACCAACATGTCTTATTCGCTGAACAGAGTTACGTCCCATTGGCACGCCAGGAACCTATGATTTCAGATTGGACGCGAGTATGTTTCTAGGTTTGACAGCACTGGGTGTTTTCTCCCAAGTAGCAACCTCTGCGACCTGCTTCACTTCGGGTTCACTCCAACATTTAATTGAAACCTCAGAGATATATGAAAAGAAATAGTCGTACTTGTGAAACGTTCAAAATCCAAAGAACAGTCAAATAACGCCTCTATTCTTTCTCAAACAGCCAACAACAGTTCGGGTACAGTTATTACGACAGCCAACACGTCAGATACTGTTGTCATCAACACCAAACAACACTGACCTGATAGCTCCAGGATAAGCTCCCCCAGGAAATCATTGGTCTTGAACCTGTCGTAGTCCCACAGTGTGATCTCCAGCACCTTGTTCTGCAGCTCTCCCCGGGCCACGTTCTGGAACATCAGCGTCTGGTGCCACTCCGGGTTCAACGTCCGCGAGATGTGACGGGTACGACGCTTGTTCTCTTGGCTGTAACATGGAAAAGGCTTCAACTGACAGAGTGCGATGTACCATGCGTTTGTCTCAATATACCGCGGACTGTAGGGCCATAACTTCAGTTATTTCTCGTTATAAGGCTAGTAACCATAAATAACATGGCTGTGTCGGAAGAGATATCTTCACAAATCAATAATGCTACGTCTTGTTATGCTACCTTCCTTTATAATTATTACTTCCTACGATTTGCAGTATGTTATGCTTCCAACTATTGGGACGTGTTATGCTCCCAATTATTGAGGCGCCTTATGCGTCCAACAACAGAGACCTATAATAACACATCACTTCTTATAATCTTTTGGGGCGACGTATGCTTCCACTACAATAACTTGTTATGCCTCTGCCACTGTGACGCTTACAGTTTCTTCTACTAACACGTGTCATGCTCCCTCCACTAACACGTGTCATGCTCCCTCCATTCACACGTGTCATGCTCCCTCCACTAAACGTGTCATGCTTCCTCCACTAACACGTGTCATGCTCCCTCCACTAACTTGTACTGCTGTTTTTTCCGAGACGTGTAATTGTGTAATCCTACCCAGGAGTTTCCCAACATTACTGAACCAATAGATATGTAGTTTCCCAACATTACTGAACCAATAGATATGTAGTTTCCCAACATTACTGAACCAATAGATATGTAGTTTCCCAACATTACTGAACCAATAGATATGTAGTTTCCCAACATTACTGAACCAATAGATATGTAGTTTCCCAACATTACTGAACCAATAGTAGTTTCCCAACATTGAACCAATAGTTCCCAACATTACTGAACCAATAGATATGTAGTTTCCCAACATTACTGAACCAATAGATATGTAGTTTCCCAACATTACTGAACCAATAGATATGTAGTTTCCCAACATTACTGAACCAATAGATATGTAGTTTCCCAACATTACTGATACCAATAGATATGTAGTTTCCCAACATTACTGAACCAATAGATATGTAGTTTCCCAACATTACTGAACCAATAGATATGTAGTTTCCCAACATTACTGAACCAATAGATATGTAGTTTCCCAACATTACTGTACCAATAGATATGTAGTTTCCCAACATTACTGCATGTAGTTTCCAACATTACTGTACCAATAGATATGTAGTTTCCCATTAACATTATGTAGTTTCTGAACCAATAGATATGTAGTTTCCCAACATTACTGAACCAATAGATATGTAGTTTCCCAACATTACTGAACCAATAGATATGTAACATTACTGAACCAATAGATATGTAGTTTCCAACATTACTGAACCAATAGATATGTAGTTTCCCAACATTACTGAACCAATAGATATGTAGTTTCCCAACATTACTGTAGATATGTAGTTTCCCAACATTACTGAACCAATAGATATGTAGTTTCCCAACATTACTGTACCAATAGATATGTAGTTTCCCAACATTACTGAACCAATAGATATGTAGTTTCCCAACATTACTGAACCAATAGATATGTAGTTTCCAACATTACTGTACCAATAGATATGTAGTTTCCCAACATTACTGAACCAATAGATATGTAGTTTCCCAACATTACTGAACCAATTACTGAACCAATAGATATGTAGTTTCCCAACATTACTGTACCAATAGATATGTAGTTTCCCAACATTACTGAACCAATAGATATGTAGTTTCCCAACATTACTGTACCAAACCGAATGATAACAATATTACATATATACACTTTCAAATGTCTTCCAGAAATTGACAATTTCCCCAATGCAAAACAAATAGGAATACACTGTTTTGATTAACACGGTAGCTAAGACCGATAGCAGGTTTGGCCAAGCAGATGATTGATGAGTGAAAGGTTCCTTCTATCATTGAGGTGAACACTGACGCTGACATAGAAATGCTTCAAAATCGATAACATCCACCATATATCCTGAAAGAAAGTATACTTGACTTTGATAGCTCATGTTGTTCTGATGACAATACATGGACAGTTATGTTCTTTCTGTTGGTATTGCCTCTACAAATGTGCTACTGGGATGGCCACAGAATGGACATATATATCGCCATCAAGGTACAAGATCACCAAACGTTATTGATTTTTAGACCGCCACACAGCCGAAGCTGCAGCTAAAGCCACGAGGAGACGGAACTGGAGATCTTACCCGCGACCAGGAAGTAGGTAGACTTTGACGAATGGATCTGATAGGCCATTGATGTCACGTGGTCTTAGATTGCGGGACTGGATGACGTGCACGTTGAGCGTGTTGTCGAAGTCATCTTGACTTATTTGGAGCTGTGAAAACAATCGTCTTAATTAGACTTCAGAATAACTCTTAAAAACTTGTTAAAAGGGAAAATGAAATTCACACTTTGTAAATGTTAAATTGTGATGAAAAGGTCGGATATATGTTTTCACACATTTGACAAAATGTCACTTAAAGATTTCACAGGTTCACTTCGCCACCTAAAATAAAGTTAATTTACCATCTGGATTGTATTGGAAATATTTGTTTCCAAATAAAGAACAGTCATGAAACGTGAACAGTCAATTATTACAAACACCTGGATGTTTAACACCGCGCTCAGCAATTTTCCAGCTATATGGTGGTAATCAAGTCTGGACCAGACAATCCAGTGCTTGGCATCATAAGTATCGACCTACGCAACGCTGATACGACAACACGCACCAGCAAAGTCAGAGACACTGACCACCCGATCTTGTTAGTCTCCCTTCAGAAGAATGGTGTGTTGAAGCCCAAATCTAACCGTGGTCTTCAAGGGACATTGACATATACACAAAGTTCTGACAAAATATATAAGATTTCTACCTGGATGTCACCAATTCCGTTGTTTGATGGTGAAGACTCCTGGAAGAGGGGAAATGACATTTGTCAATTCAATGTAATACCTAAAATATCCACTGTTAACAATCTTACGTTTGCCCGAAAACAACATATGTTACACAACATTATTTGCATGGCGATGTGAGCCGTGATTTGGTTATTATACTGTAGCAATTACATCCTACACATACAACCACGCGTTTCCATTATGTTGTTGTGTGTTGGTTATGCAGCTCTACGACCTGTGCTCACTACTGACTTTGCTCTTTGACTGCCATACAAGAGATACTGTCCTAAGAGGTCCAATGTTCACTAACCATAAGCACCAAATATATTTTCTTCCGGTCAGTTGGTGTTGTTTTTTGGTTATGGTCGATAATCAATGACCACGTATTTCACCCACAATCCAAGGGTATTTCGCATCTCAGTTTCCCTGAGAATGTACCAAACATGGAAGAAGCCCTTTTGCAATTGTGGCTCTGAGATATCGTAACTCCCATACCTAACACAGACTTACGACGTCTTAACGATATGATGGCTATGTGGCACGGGACAGTTGACCATTTTATAACCAAGAATTCCAACAGCAACTTACGTCTTTTCTTTCTCTTTCTCCTTTTCTTTTTCTTTGTCACGATGTTTGCGTCCTTTGTGGGAGTGGGGTGAGTGGTTCTCTGGGTGGCTATTGCTTCTATGGCGGTCGGAGGAGGTGGTCGGGGCGGAAGTCTCAGGCAGACTGGACTGACGTCTGTCAGGAGACGTGGAGTTGTCTCCCTTACCCGCCAGACGGCGTTTGGAGGTGGAACGGGAAGGTGGGGCACTTATTGGTTCAAGCTTCAACATTTCATTCGAAGATCTACGATCAGATTCGCCTGAATCCCCTCGCAGGTTACCTGTTCTAGTTGACTCATTCTCCCGGGATCTGCGTCTGGAAGAGGGGGTGGAAGACCGACTGCTCTCGTCCGATAAATGCTGTCCGTTTGAGCGATTGAGATTAGGGTCGGACCCACGGGAAACCTTCAGCCGATCTGAAGATGGGGACCTGTCGACTCCATCTTTAGTTCTGTGTCTTTCCCGAGGAACAGGAACAGGGGAATCTTTTGCCGACCGGTGTCTGGAGCGGGAACTTGAACTGTGTTCTCTCCTCTTGTCCAGTCTGTGTCGATCAGAGGACGCCGGGCTCTGGTCACTTTCACCAACTCGGCGTCTCTCCGTCGACGACGACGACTCCGAGTCCCGACCTCTCCTCCTCCTTTCCGATGGTGTAGATGTCCTGCCGTTGTCGCTGTGATGCCGGGAGCCGTCAGACGCTACGTCAACCACTTTAATCCTGTCATGAGAAGACGCCATGTCACAATGATTGGTAGCGGAACGCTGCCTGCTGTCAGGGAGGGTGGAGGTGGGGTCGGAGTGTGGTGTGCTACAAGGCGAAGACATGCTTGGGGTGAGGAAGTCCTGGTGGGAAGAGGAGGGGGAGTTCTCGGGGAACCCCCCTGTCTCCTGAATCTCCTCCAGCTGGGCCGCCAGTTGTCGGGGGTCGACTCCATGGCGGGATGCGAATCGGGAATCTGGCAAAACAGACAGCACAAGTTAGCTACGCCAGCCACAAGCCCGCATACAAGCGCACACAAGAGCTCGGATTCTACGTATTTGATTCCCTATTGAATATATTTTTCTGTTAATTATTCATCTACGGTTTAAATCATTATTGTCTCATTTGTTATTTGCATAAAAGATAACCCATACATATTTTGAGCATTGCCTTCACATCCTTGAGTAAAGTATTGAGGTTAACTTTGACATTATTCTCCAAGGTGAGCTATTCGCATCAATAACAACGTGTTTAGAGGGGCTTATTGATTGGCTTGTTGCAGCAGATGGTTCACTCTACGAAGTCCCACTTATATATGACTAGCTACCAAATAAAGCTATTGGTATAATCCAAATAATTTCTTCTTTCACTTTTGGTTTTATTTTGGAAATGACACAGCAACGATGAAAACATGCATGCTATTGAGTGCCGGAACTGTGCAGGTTTGTCTGATGGGTTTCTGAAGCTAGGTCTACCTGATTACACACTAAACTCACTATACTACCGTTTAAAAAATCTATTTACGAAACTTGTGTTTTTCTTGTCTACCACCATGTGACCTATCCATACAGAATAGAGGTATATAAACATATACCTGTGACGTAAACTCGTTCCAATTAAATATCTGTTTGGAGTTACAATTTTTGGGTAAATACTCATATTTTAAAACAAAAATGATCAGAGAAACATTTTTTTTGGTGGCCAATGTAAAAACTATACTGACTGGTTTTAGACATACTGCATCGTTTTTACTAATCTGACATTTGATTGACCTTCCAGTTTACGACCAATATCAACCGTTTGATCATAAAGACTTATAAAGTTCTTGGTGGTTAGCTCAACATATAGTTCTAAATGCCCATAGGTTCAGATGAATTTGAAACTTTGATAAGAAACTCTGGTGATGAGATCAGCCCCTCTGTGTGGAGTTTATACGTGGCGAATGCGCTTGCTCTCCAGTGTGGTGGTCATATGCAGGGTAAGGGAGAGAACTGGTGTAGGCAGTGCTTCATAGAGATAGAAAGGGTATTGGTACATGCAACAGGGTGTGGTCATGCATCATGCTCGTGCTTGACGTCATAGACATCGAAAGGGATGATGGGAATGCAGACTCATGTTGATGGTGAAGCAATGTGAAAAGATGGAATGATATAAACAAAACAGGTTTCAATAAGTTAATAAGGCATGTACATCATCATGAAGTGTATTAATGATCTGCGTTAGGATAATCAAATATTTCCATGCACTAATTAAATGTATCAAGATGTGTTTATATTCATACACATACAAGACGAGTGTTGAACAATTTTGTTTACATGTGCAGTTTTCAGAAGTTAGAACTAAGTAATTTGTTTCGCCACTCATGCTGTCGCAGGAACCAGGAAGTACATACCTTGTTCTTCCTCGCTGTCCAGATTGTCATAGGAAGAGTGACAGCTTCCGGCCTCCATGCAGTGGTCAGGAATTGCCCGTCGGCCTCGGTGTTTGGACAATCTGAAGCGTGAACGTTCAGATGTATCACACGCTTTACTCTTAGCTTTAGAAGACGGTATCCCCCTGACACAGCGTCCACACCCCCTTAACTGAATTATAGGGTACCCATCTTGCTCCTACTCAAGCGATATTCTACAAGTATGTATATATCACTTACGGTCTGACTACCATCTCGATCTCTCCATTGGGCTGGGTGATGATCTGCTGCACATCCTCGTATGTCCTGCCCGATAGGGAGATCCCGTTCCATTCCAGCACCTGGTCGCCTGGTTGCAAGAAAAACAAGGGCCATCAACACAATCATGTTCGTCCCGTCCTACAGAACCTACAGAAATTATACACTTGCAAATTGGATTTCACCCCATATTTTCAGACGTTATGGTAACGTCACAAGCCTGAATGTCAGGTATCTGAAATCTCTTAAACAGATCATGGTAATACCTGTCAAGCTTCACATCAGGCCAGCGCCAAATGACATAAAAAATAGGCGTATACCTTGTTTTGTCCGGTAGATCATGGGCCACCATCAAAAATAGGCGTATACCTTGTTTTGTCCGGTAGATCATGGGCCACCATTAAAAATAGGCGTATACCTTGTTTTGTCCGGTAGATCATGGGCCACCATCAAAAATAGGCGTATACCTTGTTTTGTCCGGTAGATCATGGGCCCCCATCAGATTTAGGCGTATACCTTAGCAATATTCCAGCAACATCACGGCGGAGGACACCAGAAATAGGCTTCAGCAGAAATGTGGAATCGAACCCGGGTCTTCAGCGTGACAAGCGAACACTTTAACAACTAAGCTACCCCATCGCCCCTGTGTATTAAGGGTATTCAGCAACTGCTAGACTGATCTACACGCTATAACCTGAGTTAACACATGTACACAGCGGTGATAGGGTAAATTGAACTGACATTTCCTGGGACAGAATATTTACTGTTGCCAGGTCCGGTTTAATGTCTTACAATCAACGTGTTACCTATATTTGGGGTGATGGGGGTAGTCTAGTGGCTAAAGCGCTCGCTCGCTCGTCACGCCAATGACCATGGGTACAATGTGTGAAGCAAATTGCTGGCATACCGCTAAACGCGGCGTAAACCTAGACTCAATCACTCTCACTATTACCTATATTTGGTACAAATAAACGTTTGTGGCGTGTAAATTGTTTGATATTTGTGGCTTGGCGTTTTCGAAATTAGATAAACATTCCTTACAGATGTGTATGTTAAATCTTGAACAACTGCTCATTTTTTGTAACATTAATTGATCTTTTGTTTCATTAACATATACAAAGGACGTAGTGTGTAGAAAATGGTTTGTATTAAGTGTATGGCTTTGAGAACACAAATGGATAACTTTTGTTATCAAATCCCATTATCTCAAGTCTCCCCACTCCTCTATTTACCATAGAGACTCAGAGAACAATAAAATACAAACAATTTCTGTATAATCTTTTGTAATCAGCAATTATTTTTAATAGCATAATTACAGGTACACTGTGATTCTTACATCAGGTCTTTCAAATCAAAGGCCTTGTTTGGTATTTAACGCTGGACTCTGCAATGTTTCAGCTACATCATGACAGTCGGTAAATAGCTGGACCAGACAATCCACTGATTGACATCATGATCCCAATCCATGCAATCATCAACCATCGATCCGGACCACCCGATTCTGTTTGCGAGACTCATTAGTAGTCACCTCTATTACTACCAGTAAGTAATAACCGTGGCGTCTCAAATCAAAGGCCTAGTATTTCATTCATCAACTCAAAAAGAAAAAAATGCCGAGAAGAAAATGGTATTTAAAACTGGATATTTGATTCTGTAAACGTTATGCCTTCTCTTCAAGAACTTTCATAATGTGACCTTGACCTTCATGCTAGAAACAACCCTGACCTACCTATCTCGAGCTCTCCGTGAAGCTGCTCTGCTATTCCGCCAGGGTAGATTGACGTCACAAATGCTCCAATCTGATTGGTTCCAGGTATCTGCTTACCGCCAACAATCTTCATTCCAATTCCGTTGCCTAGAAACCAAATATATCCCATTTCATATATCGAACGGAACCTATTTCCGTCAGGCATTTTGACCAGACTGACAACCAGTTTGACTATTTATCATAAACAGGGGATAGCGAACAAGGAAATTACCACATACTATTGTGCCTTTATTTGATGAGGGGTGGGAAACGTTGTATTATCAAAGCGAGATTCTGGTCTTCAGTTGCGAGTGGTGATTTCATGCCTCAGTTAAACAATCTCCACCATAATTCGACAACCGCTCTATCAGAAGAAGAAACTTCTGATGTATAAGAAAATGGTCCGTCAGCAGAAATTGAGAAGCCGCTTGATAGAGTAGCATCAGCGGGTTCCTGTTTATATGAGATGTGGCGATAATGACTTGGCTCGACACATCATAACGTCCTGGATATACGTCATAGCAAACACATATATAATATTTTGCATCACGTTGTTCAACATCCATTGTCATTGTATAACACATGTTATATTTGGGATTACAATTTCTCAACAAAAGTACTAGAATCTGTACTTTACTGAGAAAGTGTAATCCCAAATATAAGATATGTTACATTTGACCACTTTCTACGTGGCATTGTGGATTCATATTGCCATTATGTTCAACAATCTGTTCTCAGCCATATTTTGGCGTTAATGTGATGGATTTACTTGAAAATGAAGTTCTTGGTTCGATTTTCATATGTAAACCTTCAGTTTCTGTTTGTCTTAGCCCAAACAATGCTAGACATTGCTGAAACTAGCCTAAAACGATCACATACTCGAGTGGCTTGAAAGAATAATGCCAGAGAGAGGATTTTGAATCTGTTCAATTCTATATGAGTAAATATTTTTTCATCTGCTTAGATCAACATTCACGACCTTGTTTATGGTAAATACAAATACCTTCAGAAAAATGTAAAGTTTTCTTTCAACGAATCCTAGGTAACTTGTAAAAAATAAGAAACATAGACAGAGCTGCAACATACTTAGACATTTAATGTTCCATGAGATAATCTGAAGTAATGCCATCTTGATGTTACAATGTATCTACTATGACACAGAACAAAATACCCAAAACCCACATACATCAGCTCTCAACGACATGCTATGATTTGCGATACACAAATGACAACATGCAGTCTACAGTGATCATCCTTATGTCACTACAAGGCTGCCTCCTTGGTGTAGTGGAGTGTTTGCCCTGATGGTAGAACGTCGGCGGATCGATCCCCGGCCTTTTAATGTTAATAAGGCGAACACAGACTGGCTTTTTCATGTTTTATTACATGCTGATTAAGTTATAAGATAAGATAAAGATGGTTGGATTTCGGAAATGGAGGTATATACTGATTTGGACAATCAAAGATGGTGCATGTAGCAGTGATAAGTCTTTGATTGGGATTTAGCTCAGCTTTTAACAGTATTTGAGTTACATCAGGGCGTGGCAGTTTAACACAGGAAGGCATGTCTCCCCCGCTCATGTTGAACACTTCCGTGAAATCACCTGTAACAGGTATTGTGCTCACAGATGGGCGAACCTTGGATTCAAACCCATGATCTGCGTAACCTGTTACTTAAGGGTGACAACTCGCCTTCGACCGCTGAGCCAGTCATGTTAGCTACTGTAGCAGTTCCTATAACGGCCAGATCTCCCTACAGTGCTACAACACTAGACGTATTATTACAGAGCTTATCTAGCACCACTACAAGCGCTACAACCCCGTCATTACACAGCCACACTAAATCATGCCCAGATACGACAGTCCGACACATCACAATACGACACGACATTACGATACGACAATACGACACGACAATACGACACGACAGCCAGCCCAACTAAAAGCTATAGCAGCATACCTTTCCTACCTGTCACACACCGATCCTTGGGGTCACGTGTCACCAGGATCCGCTTGGTGGGGAAGTTGTACTTGATGGGTTCCGGGGGTGGTGGCTGAAACAACACGCTCAGTAAATTAGGAGATCAACACATATTCACCTCAACAAACAATAGTACCTTCATGTGATTAAAATACCGATTAATTCAACCGTAACTCAGGCAGTGTCTAATCTGAACACCCGACTTAAGTTAAAACTTGTGGATATAGCCTCCACCCCATCACCTACTCCTCGAACTAATCATCATGAACATGGGATTCAAAAGCCGACTGTATATCATGAACATGGGATTCAAAGGCCGAGTGCATATAATGAACATAGGAATCACAAGCCGAATCATGAACATTGAATCAAAAGCCGACTGCATATCATGAACATAGCCGACATATCATGAACATAGCATGAACATTGGATCAAAAGCCGACTACATAGCATGAACATTGGATCAAAAGCCAACTGCATAACAAAGAACATGAGATTCAATAGCCGACTGCATATCACGAGCAAGCAATATAACTTTTCCAATGATCATACACAATCTCTTCCTGGGAGAGGGCGTTCTTCAGTTGGATAACTTGTGCCTAATCCATTTCATCTTTGAATAAAATATGTTTAAAACAAACACAATCTCTACTTCAAGCAGAGCCAAATGCTCGATACCAGCTACACCAGGAGCAGGTGCTTCACTATCATGCAGTGTCGATACTCCATTAGTTTTTTCTTCCTTCATCAATCATTAATCTTTCAGCATTTCCCCATGTATTTATTCAATATTTAGATATGCTGAAATGATATATGGCAATCGTTAACTACTGTAAGGTCTAAAGGCCAACTATCTTTAGCTCCTAAAAACCTAGACCAAAGATTTTTCTGCTTTTATTCAGCTTCTGTGATGTTTCTTCCGCCCAATAACTGTTGTATTTCAAGTGACATTATCGTTTCTCTGTTCCGACATTGAGTGACAGTGCTCTGCCCAGTATCATGTTTCAACACAAGCCAGGGAATGCAACGTTGATGTCATTAACTCTACTTTAACTAAATGAACGATCCCGTTCTCTTCTGGAAGACGACTCGTTCCCAACACCGCACAAAGTACCAGATACTGCTTGACAGGACACTATCACTGTTTCGTTGGTGCACATATTGAAATATCGATTGGGACAGAATAGCTATTCTGTCGTGTGACCGGTTGTAATTTCCAAAAGGTGTTTTATACTACAACAACATATTCCCAAATAAGTGAGTGAATGCTGTATGCCTGACGAAAACACAAGAGGATAAAAGATTGTTTGAACAAAATATTTAGAAAGTTTATTAAAGTTTTCTCTCCATTCTTTGATGATAAAAGCCCATTACCCATTTGCAACCATGACCCCTGTTTAGAAGAGACTTCACCAGCTCCAAATTACTGTTTATAACATATCCCAAAATTCTTACGATTTTTACTTATTTCAGGGAAACAAAATGGCCTTACTGCTTGCCGAGATTTATCGTGGAAAGGATTTTGTCGTTGTTTATAGCCTAGGAAGCTCGATGTCAACAGAAGGGTCATATATCACTCTGGGTGATCAAGAATGGGAACACTGGTGACATAGTCGGTGTATAGATGCTTGTTTTTATACTCCCATTGGTCATATACATGTAGTGGGTCGATAGGCTACCCTTGTATTGATGCTACCATTGGTCATATACATGTAGTGGGTCGATAGACTACCCTTGTATTGATACTCAATTGGTCATATACATTTAGTAGGTTTATAGGCTTCCCTTGTATTGATACTCCGATTGGTCATATACATTTAGTAGGTTTATAGACTTCGCTTGTATTGATACTACAATTGGTCATACACATGTAGTCGATATAGAGAGAGGTTGTATTGATACTCCCATTGATCATATACATGTAGTGGGTCTATAGACTCTGATTGTATTGATACTCCCATTGGTCATATACATGTAGTGGGTCTATAGACTCCCCTTGTATTGATACTCCCATTGGTCATATACATGTAGTGGGTCTATAGACTCCGCTTGTATTGATACTACAATTGGTCATATACATGTAGTCGATATATAGAGAGGTTGTATTGATACTCCCATTGGTCATATACATGTAGTGGGTCTATAGACTCCGCTTGTATTGATACTACAATTGGTCATATACATGTAGACGATATATAGAGAGGTTGTATTGATACTCCCATTGGTCATATATACATGGGGTCTATAGACTCCGCTTGTATTGATACTACAATTGGTCATATACATGTGCATAGTGGGATACTATATATACATGTAGTGGGTCTATAGACTCCGCTTGTATTGATAATACAATTGGTCATATACATGTAGTGAATATATAGAGAGGTTGTATTGATACTACCATTAACTACTTTGTGGTATTCGAGACATGTGATAATCGATATATTCGTCTTACCTTCCTTCTCCTGTCGAGCTGCTTGAGGATGGTAACGCCCCCCTTCTGTCATATGCTTCATAATTGGTTCATCTGCGTCCACGCTATTGTCACTCTCTGTCCGGTAGACGGCGTTCATCAGGTCTGCATGACACATGACTTGAGACATGACAAATATACACCATGACTAATTGGCACTAGCAAGAAAGAAATGACACATTGTCTGGGGTAAAAGCATTCGCGTCAACATGAATTTACTCACTCACACATCATACTTACCCTCTCGCTCGCTCATTCACTCACTCACTCACTCACTGAGCTGCCACTTACTACAAGCGTTGGACCAGTGGACTCTTCCGCTCATTCATGTATTAAAAATTCTACAAGAACTTCTAACAGAATTGCCTTTCCACGGCAGCCATGGTATATTTGTAACAGTTCTGTAACATGTATCTGGACACTTGGAAGTTAATGAGTAATTACTAGAAATTTGGAATTTTGTCTACAATTATCTGTTAAATTCAGTCTGTATGTGTTTTACACATTATCATTATGTTGTTAGTTGTTCAATTATATAACGAGTGTCTTCTGAGACGGAACTGAAATCGGTTCATATTGTTTAAACATGAAAGTGTTGATTGAACATTATCGATCATTGTTTTATTGTACATTAAGCTTGTTTGCTATTGTAATGAAGGCATAATGCTGTGTTGCAACCGCTGTGTCGCCTCGCATCAAAGATTTCTTATCAGAATTTTACCATTCATACCTAATGGAACCTGGTTCAACAGAGCGATCTTTCTCTTACTTTGTCGCTTATATTAGGATTTTTATCGATTTCACGATCATGATATTAGCGTCGTCGTCATAAACGAGGAAAAACAGATACTTGTACATCAAACAGATTGTGTTTTACGGATAGATTACATTTGCCCTTGTACAAGGGGTGAAAAACATTTTTGACAAAACAGCTTTTCAATTTCGTGGATAAGCGCCCTCTCATTCAAGAATGGCAAGAATTTGTTCAAATGTCTTATCATTGGTGACATTGACCTGGTACATATGACGCTGTCTAAAGCGTTATTCAAACTTTTGTCTTTGTTTCAGAAATTTGATAACTAGGATGATACTTAACAAAGATGAATATATCGATCGACCAATGACTGCACAGTCACTCATGATGGACAGCAAATATAACTCCTATCATGAAATCTGTCAATCAACAATCACGTTTACGACCCTCACCAAACCGTTGCCTTCCTACCTTCTACCCCTCCAGGGAAGTTGAACTCGGCCGACACGGGTCTACTTCCGGTTCCTATGTCATGGATGATCTTCCTGGACTTGGCTGTGACGTCATCTAGCAGTGGCATTGCGGGTGTGTAGTCGCTGGCCGGACTCTCAGCGTCAGAGAAGGTGTTGTAAGACACAGAATCCCTGGTGGGAACAAAATCTAAATCAGCCCTATTAGAATACATATCAGGTAGAGTTACACTGCTAGACAGCCTAGCATCCCTGGAGCTCACTTGGACAGTGTTCTCCCTTGCAGCAACAGAGGGGTACGAATCCATTCTCCGAGTGAGTGTGGATGGTGGGGAGAACGTCGTCGGGTCGGCGTAGTCGCTGTAATTTTGATAGATGCCTGTGTCGTCGGAACGATGTCGGCGAGACGTCTCTTGTTTATGAGCCAGATACTCCGTTGAGCTGTAGTTGGAGTGGTAACCCGACCGCCTGTCCTGTGGATCCCGGTATGGATCCATGTCATCTCTGTCGTAACGGGACTCGTCGTCTAGCGGCCGGATGATACCGGTTGGTATAGGTCTTTGAGGACCATACGGGGAGGAACCGTAGCGAGCTGGTATGTCATCATAGCTGTGGGCCATTGACTGCCGCGCTCGGGCTAACTTTAACAGTTCTGTTTTCAACCTAGCAGTTTCCTCTAATTGTCTCTTGCGTTTATCAATCTCGTATTGCAACCGAGCCTTCTTTTCTTCCTTGATTTTACCTTCGTCATCATCCGAATAATAGGTAGGCGTCCTTGAGCCTGACCTTGACCCCGACCTTGAACTTCCTGGCAGCTGGCTTTCTGACCTACTTACCGACATTGGCATTTGACCATTAAATTGTCCCTGGTCAGGCTGCAATCTTTCACTGGAGTTAGTTTTGCCTGTATAAAACATTCGTGCATAAGCTGATGGTTTAATTTTTTTGTATCTTGCATTAGACACGGGCTCGGATCTGGTACTTTCAGTGTCACTGAGACCAGAGAGCGAACTATCATCCGTCGAATACTTCGAACTCTGGCGCGCATCTGCACTGTCACTCATTTTAGCCTGGAAATCAGCCTCAATGTCTTTGTCCTCTTTAATAGGACTAAACTTAGCTATCATGGGATCCGAGGACTGCCGTTTATGTCTCTGCCTTCTAGGCGTGACCTGAGGAGATGACCTAGGGGTCAAGGACGTCGAAGGTGACAATCCTCTCCTCCTTGAGTCTTGTTCCAGTTGAGTAGTAGCTGGAGGTAACTTTCCATTTCTGGCTAGGTATGCCTGTCTCTGAATCAATTCAGTTTCTAGCTTTAGCGCACCTATCTGCATCTGTAGAGCCCGTATCTCTTCCAGTTCCTCTAGTTTTCGTTTCCTATCCAAAGTAACTCTTCTCAGCTCCTCCTGCAACCTTTTCTTCAAAGAAATCATAGCCTCTGTACACGGAATGCCATAGATATTAATCAAAGAGTCAATTATTGCATCAGTTTCATCCTTGGGAAGAATACTGGTACCCAAGGAACCTGCTCTCTGCAGCTTCATCTGAGTGGAGACTAAGGTATCCCTCTTCTCCTGCAACATTCTCTCACTAATGTCAAAGCTCTTAGCCTTGCCAACTGATGAAAGCACCTTCTTCTCTGGAATTCTATTTATTCTGGCCACTTCCAAATCATCTTCATTCATTGAGTCATCACTTTGGGAGGAGTACTTTCTGTGATCCGGTGAAGGCTTTGGTGGTTTGGGAGGTTTCTGTGGTTCTTGGCGTGGTTTGGGGGAAACTTGTTTGGTCCCCTTCAGTTTGGCTTTGGGTGTAAGTACTGGCTCCTCGTTCGTTGGGATTGGTGGCAGTTTCCTCCTCACCTTTTTCGGGTCTTTCTTTTCTTTAGGTTCTTTCTTCGGCTCTTTTGGTTCTTTTTTAGGTTCCTTAGGTTCTTTCTTCGGCTCTTTAGGTTCCTTCTTAGGTTCCTTAAATTCCTTCTTTGGCTCTTTTGGTTCCTTCTTCGGTTCTTTTGGTTCCTTCTTTGGCTCTTTTGGTTCCCTCTTCAACTCTTTCGGCTCTTTCTTAGGCTCTATCTTAGGGGGTTCCTTAGGGCGAGCTGCTATCTGGAATTATTCAAATTCATTCACATGTATGATCATATAGCACTGATGATTGATGAAATTATGTTTAATGTTAATAATAAAGAAAAGGTTTTGCTTATAAACAATATTTGTTTACTTGATTTAGACATATTTACTCATTGAGGTAGGTTGATGTTCACAAACGTCTGATATTCCATTTATGTTACATATACACACTTAAAATTTCCCTTGCGTATGTCAGCCAAAACAACATACACATATGACATAATGATTTTGAATTTGATTAATGTACATGCATTTCAACTTCATATTCGCTTCATGCTGCAACTCTGATCGGAGAACAGACAGGTGAACGGACACTAGATGCCACGGAAAATCACGGAAAGTCACGGAAAGTCACGAGTGGTCAGACTGACAAAGGCATGTGCTGGCAAGGTTGACCGGAAGGTGTTGGACGAAGAACGTTTCACACATGCGATAAATGGGGAAAGGAGAGAAAGAAAAGAAAATGGATGATAAAAAGATAGAGAGGAAAGTAGGTGAAGGGTCAACGTTGTGTGGTAAGCGTCTAAACATGTGAAAACTGTGGCTTACATGACAAGGTGACACAGAGTGCAATAAAACACGTGGACATGAAATACTGCTAGAATAGGACTCACAATTCGTGAAATATCGTCCGAAGATGTCAAATTTACGATTGCATTCCCGACAGAAGTAATGCTATTTACACCGTTAAGAGGATAAATGATTCGCGTTCGTGTTGCCAACACAGACGTCAGTCGGACTGGAGTTCAAAGCGTTTGGCTATGTGCTAATTGTCTTGTTCATATTGGGCCGATGGGCGTGACCAACACAGTATAGTCCATAGATCAAGAAGTGGTGACGTCGGATGGGAATAACACCTATGGTTACAGAAAATCAATGCAAAATGTGTGGAGACACATGGCAACTACACTTGTGGATTACACTGTGATTTGACGCGACAGGTACATCCATATATTGGAAATAACTCAAAATAAGACTTTCTTAGAAAAGCATGATTATCTAAGTTTAATCCTCTGAATCAAGATCCGTCATTTTCTGTGACGTCACTGCTCGAATGGCGGAACGCGCAACGTCATAATTACCTGGTTTCAAGACAAAGGGATAATAATAATATCAACTGACGCTGTACTTCGCAACAGGCTCGTCATGGCCGATCCATTAAACAGATATTTTGAGTCACCGTCCACGAAGATCGTCTTACCGTATACAAGTGTATGCTCCGTTTAGAAACCATATTGATTAACAAAGACAGGAACCTAGATGGAGAGGCAAATGGCATTTGCGATGAGTGATGTATGTTCTCCACGGGAAAATATGACAGCATACCACATCAAGATGGAGGATATTGATGAACGTACTTCAAGACGGTTGATAACTTTGCCTCTGTAGCATCTTTGCGATCAATAGAAGCAAACTATTTGCTGTTTATTCTATAATCAGATATGAGATTATACCATGATACTAAATATACATTTAAACTACATATTTTGAGACACCAGAGAACAATAAACAGGTGCGCTGCAGGGATTATAAGATCATCGTGGATGAAGAAATAGGTCGTGGTGAATATCTTCAAAGAACGTCATCAAATGCAAATAATGTTTTGCACATCTAATTAACAGGGATGTCAAAGAGGTTCACGAAATAAACATTGTTACAAACGAAAATAAAACGCTTCAAGAGTTGGAAGTGGTTTAACAGTAATGCAATTTGCCTTCCCTAAGATCCAGGTTATCGTTGAGGAGGCTGGATCGTTGGATTTTAGAAACCGTCTTATCTCTAATTCAAAATCAATAATAGAGTCCCTAAAACCAGAAAAGACAGACCCAGCGGGTAAGAAAAACTACACAACAATCTAATTGTAGAAAGGAAAGAGTCACCTTATAACCAAGGGCCACCATCGGAGGACGAACATCTATTTCATGAAACGCGATAAATAATCCAATGGATCTTTTGATTACATTTTGTGCTGGTTCCAAAACAAATCGATATTAATTTGATTTCAAGGTTTATTTGATGTGACCTCCTTCTGTCGTTCGCAATCGAATCTATCCTATGTCTGCTATGGAGAGTTTGTCGCCAACGCGGTCATTTGGCTATCACAGAATCGTCCTCAGATGAAAGATGGTACATTACTGTCAACTCAGTAGCTATTAACGCGTATATTGCCTTGAACAGAATTGCTAAGCGAAAACCAGAAACGAAACGTCAGCATTTATCTAGCATCTTCATACGTTCATTCGAATATTTTTTAAAATACATTTATCCTGAAAATATATTCTGTATTTGCATCCGAATGCACGTTGGTAAAATTATGATGTAGTTCCATCCTTTTTATATCCCTTCGCAAACGCGATGATGATCGTATGTTCTAAGGATGAACAATCAGATGACATGTATGGTGATTAGAAGTCATGATAACTTATACTCTTCTTGATTCCATGACATTGTGTCCATGCAGTAAAATAAGTTAAAAACATTATTAATTTTGATATGGATTTTCATGCATATACTTATCAATTTACGAAGACACTCTTAAAATAATTTACAATAAAAATCCTGTTTGAAACATATCATAACTGTTTCGGTTTCATAGGAAGAGTGTCTTGTGTGAGCCAAACAGGGAAGTTAGTTTTGAAAATATTATTCTTGTAAATCCAACTATAGATTCTACGCTTTCTACACATATTCATTATTATCACTGATCTAAACTTGGACGACACTTTCGTAATTATATCAGTTATGTCCTCATTCCAAATAAAACAAAAGGAAATAAACATAAGGATAAGCACACTGACCGCAGAACTACTGTGTGGAGAAGAGGTGAGGTCACTCTTTACCTCCTCAAAATATTTTAGCTTATCACGAATACTTGGGCGAGGTTCCTCCACCTCTGCCACTACTTCCGGCACACGTGGCTCTTGTGGAGAAACTTCCCGTGGAGCCTGAAGTGGAGCTGCACATGCGCCTTCTGTTACTTCCGGTACTTCCAGTGGATCAGGTATATTCTGGTTGCACAAATCGCTTAAACTACTTCCATAGGAAATCGTCCTTGTTGGTTTTTGCCCAGCCAGTTCTTCGTCTAGGTCAGTGCCCGTGGAGGAGGGGGAATGGGGTTTGGGAGGGGAGGAGTCCGAATCAGGGGGAGTTACTGGGGAGGGGAATGTGTACAGTTCGTGATCGGGAGAGGACGAGGGGGACACAGAAGTGCTCTCCGAGAACTCGCGTTTTATTGAGGTTTTCTGTTCCGGTGTGGGTGGGGAATCAAGCACCTTATATTGAGGTGAGACGGATTGTTCCTCTGACTCTATGTGTTGAATAAGGAGGGGATTAGGTTTGGCCTTAAGATCCTTTGCCTTTCTTTTTTCAGTAGAGTCTTGTCGAGGGAGCGTTCTGCCATTTGATGTGCTTGTGCTTTTTAGCGATTCCTGAGAACTGGATACACTTTTATCAACCAGGGCCAGATTACTGGCAGTTGGTGGTAGTATCAATGGTTTTTGTGGTGGCACTGGCTTCCCAGCAGATGGTTTTTGAGATGCCATGATCTCTGGAGTAGGATCTGGAAGCTTTCTCCTTGGCTTCGGTGGTGGTATCGGTTTCACATTTGCTGCTCCTGTTTTGAGCATATTTTGCAGATCCTCGCTTATTTTCCTAATTTCACTTGTGGTACTGTTTTCAACTTGTGGTCGTGAAGAACTGACTGTTTTAACCTGACCAATTTCACTCCCTATTCCAGGCTTGGAATATGTAATGGTTGTCCTTGAAGCAGGCACTGGCTGGGCAAGACTTGTGCAATCCATTACAGGGAAATCCTCTTTAGAAGGACATGTCTCTCCTCCGTCCCCATCATCATAGTTTCCATTGCCATTCTCGTCTTGGTGGTTCGCAGCAATCACTGGCTGTCCATTCCCGTCAATGATGCTAATATTCTCCATGATGGTATATCTCTTTAAACCCGTGTAAGTAAAATCCTCTTCTTCCTCATCCACAGGAAGTACTACCGCGGCAGCACCAATACCACAAACCAGCTCCTCAGCTTCTTCGTCAGCCTCATCCAGTTCTTCTTCCCTGGACCTCTGTCGCTCTAATTCCTCCATCTGTTTGGCTAACATGTCTTCTTGTTCGGCCTCTTCTACTGACGGAGACACGTCCAGGATTGGAGAGAGGTCTATGACAGGGGACCAATCCGTAGTAGGAGGCCTCGCCTTCTGTCTTTTACTTCCCTGATAATCAATAGCCTTCGTAGAAGGATCTGCCAATTCTACCTCTTCCTCTGGGGTTGTTGCATTGTCGTAATAGCCCGGGGAGACCGGTGAGGTTGGCGATTCAGCACTATCCATGGATTCTGGGGAGACCTGTTCCGAGTCATAGCTGGATGTGTTGACGCGTAAATTGGTAGGAGACACGCTCATTGATGTGAGACTCGCTGTGCTGCTGGCGATTGTTGCAGCGTAGGTAGCTAGGTCCATCACAGGAGCACTGTCACTCAAGCTATCTGTATCCTCGAAATGACGTACCTGAGGGGCGGAAGCACTGGGTTTCTTTTCTCTCGGTGACATATCAAAGGTTAAAGGTTCTCCTAACGTAGTGACCAATGAATTTTTTATCTCTTCTGGTGACAACGGTGAGGGCTTCTGTGCTAGCAATACCGTGTGCTGGGGTGGGTCCATATTAACACCCTGTCCGTCTGCATATAGATCGTCTAAAGACAGTTGTCTGGAGGGGGGTGAGATATCATTGTAGGTGAAATGATGTCTCTTGTCCTTCGGGGAAACAGGTGACCCTCTTCTTTTACCAGGATAGGAATCCTTCCTTCTGGGTGAAAATGGCGGGCTTTCCAAACCTTCTCTCCAACTAGGACTTCTGGGTGGAGTTGGGCTACTTAAGTTCTTTTCATTCGGATCTCCTACCATCAAACCTTGTAGAGGTGGGGGGTGATCTCGGTCGGGGATTTCCGGAATCGCTTGCATGCCCAAATCAAATGCTGCATCTGTGTCATCACTGCGCATGCTCCCGACCTCTTCCGAGTCTTGATTAGTGCCCAGTTCTGATTGATCACCGTCACCTTCGTCATCTGATGACGTCAGGCTGTGGGAACGAGACAGATTAAGTGATTTGGGCCTGTGTTTCCGGCGAGGCTTCGGCCCCCTGTCGCCATTACTTACGGTGCTCATTGATGTGCTCATGGAGGAAAAGTCATCCCCGGCGTCGTCGGTGCTTGTGCCTTCAGTGCGGGGCTTCTCTGAAATGTCCTCCATCTCATAATCTGAATACTCATCGGAGTCGCTCTTCGTCATAACCCCACCAGTACCTGAAACAGCCGAACGAACACGAGTCAAAATGCCAACACTTGTGCAATAACCACTCTGCGAATTACTATAACAGTGATCACAACATACAGTCTGTAAAAAACTCACAAATCCCAAAGGATATACGTTTCATTTTTTTTAAAAGCGTGTCACCAAAGCAACATTTAATTGAAATTGTGTTGATAAAAAGATATTACATTTTGGCTTCACTTTTACTGAAAGTATGATCCAGTTATGTAACCAACACCTACTGATTTGCTTAGCTGATGTAAATGTATTCATACTAGAGATATGAAACACCAACGCCTATGACAACGGCACGGTGAGCTTCATAAGGTAAACCACTCACGTTGATAAATATATAGAACTATTACAGCACAACGAATATTAACCTTACATCATTTGTAACAGCTACACACAAACAGGTGCAAATTAGATATCTGTTATTGATCATAACACTATCATGTGTTACATCTTAAATGAATAATCACTTACATGTTTTCATTAGACGCCTTTCATTTCTTAAAAACAGTATAATACAATAACTGACCACAGAACAACAGAGCGCCAAGCCATGTGCAGAAAACAGGACCAACTGTTTGTGTATTCGTTGAGTTAACTACACCAACAGCGTTTCTCATTCAAAACCTTTGGGGACCATCTCAAAGCTTCAATTGATTATTTCATCTTAAGACGTATAAAGCTGAATGTGTAGGCGCTAGGAGCAATCAACGAAGTGGTAGTTTTTATACGGGGTAAAGAAGATGCCAGACTGAGAGATGAAGCTTGGGTCGGCTAAGGGGCGTTTGACAAGGACATGCCCTCCTGGGTGCTATTAATTTGATTGCTCGACTGTTTTGGGGTTGGTTGTCTAAAGGGAAAATAGCGAAACTATTTAGCAAACTTTGAAAATCTCTAAAGCATCACTCGATACCATTGAACCATTGCCTAAAACAAAGCAATTAATATTTGATGGATTATGATAGAAATATGTTTGTTTTGATGGATTTTGTTCTGCTGTGGGAATAGCGTTAAGGCACTATATGTAAAACAAATACACTGATAACAAAGTTCACACTGGATAAAATAAACAATTATTTCATAGAAGCAAAACAGAATATATTGAAGTGATATGAATATATTTTCAGCTGAGAGTATGAATTTCGAAACGTCACTATCATAAAAAGCAACAGAACATTTGCTATTGGTTGAACAAGCTTTTAGTTTACGTACCTTAAAATGAATATTTTGAAATGGAAGCGATGATAAATGAAAATCCTTTATTAATGGTTTATATATCTTTATGATTTTAGAAACGGTGATAAGAAAATACGAAAATCGGTAGTCCTTTCGGAAGTCATATGTTATCAGTTTCAATATGATATATCTAATCCGTCAAGTCATTAATTAACATCGTAGAGCCATTAAACCATTCCCTGCGGGCATCTTAATTAAATAGATACAGTTAACGCCGATATCAAATGAAGACGATGCCAGTAATCTTGACAAATGGATGTATTTACAGACAGAGAAGATGATTTCGCAAGATGGTTGGTAGACATCTTGATCACAACTGCATCTGTTACCTCGGTTTACCATGCAACATAGTATACCAACCAACGGTTTGAATAGTGATATAAAACAACTCAAAACATACAGTGTGCTAGACAATCGTACATGCGTGTCGGCTACGAACAACGGTGTTTGATAAATAGGAAACTACCTAGAACGGAGGATATTGGGTATGATATTTTAGCATCTTCTATTGCTGTATCCTAATGTTAATATGAAAAAATGCAATGGAGGAGGCGTCGATGTAATGGGAAAAAACTTTCAGTCACATTTCCGCCACCATTTAAGTAGATGCAGTACAGAAATATTCGAGGGTTCAAATGATTCTTGTTCGTTACAAAGAGATTCGTTTTGGCAGCCGTGGGGTTTGAACATTTTGTATTAGGAAACTTGGCACTCACGAGAGGCCACTGTGTAAATTCGAGAGCAGGATACTTCGTATTGTCTATCAGAACGTTTATCTTTTACACTTGCAACTGCAGATGAACTCAAGCTGTTTTGATAGAAAATGAAACTTTCCCAAATAATCCCAGTCGGTGGGGGCACACACACACACACGCACGCACGCACGCACGCACGCACGCACCCACACACCCAAACACACGTGAACTTATGGCATTACCTTGTATTTTATCAGAATCGGTTTGGCCTTTTTAATAGTGTAATATTTATATTTTACTTCTATGATATCAATTGAGACGTACTCAACTGTGGCTTCAGTACATAATTACCTGTTCGTACAATGTACTACTCAACGTTTGCTAGGGATATTGTGAGTGTCAAGATGGAGGTAAACATGACTGGCTGTGATAGGGTGTGATTTGGCATGAAACTGACGCATGTTTTCATAACAAACATTATTAAAAATGGGAGCGAGCTTATGAGCGGTTTAAGAAGTAAATATATGTACATTTATTATTGTCTCCTGACTTCCGTCATCCCGGTATTTGTTATGGAGTTAACACACACTAGGTCGTCGGTTTGGGAGACCAGAGTGCCTTGCGTGTAACAAAGATTAACTTCTTCACCTTCAGTATCAATACACCAACTGTATCGACCTGTTGAAACTATACTGACTTGCAAAAGAAATATGCACCCATTCTTGATGGTGGCGTAAATGAAACCAAAAAAACCAACAACAAATGGTTGTTCTCTGTGATAGATTTAAAACGGGTACTATAATTGTGTTTGGACCTTAGATTTGCAGAGCTTTGATGACAGTTTTCGGCCTTGTAACGTTTGCAAGGTTCCGGTCAGTTCTAATTTGCAAGTGTATGTTTTGTTTTGAGCGGCAGTTTATGCAATACTTATTGCGTTATTGCCGAAATGTTCTTTCCCATATTTACTTTTGTTTATTATTGTTTGAAAGTAAATTACATATGCGTCAGTTGCCCAAATCACTGTCATGTTTATCCCACATCTTGACCATGTAATCCTGCTATACGGCTGACTGGTACATCATCGCATTAAAGAATCAGTGCAAGTAATCATTACGCATTTAAACAAACATTTATCGTCATGTGACTCCAAGTTTTCAACCAATCAAATTATTAAAAAAACTACAGCCAGCCAATCAGATACGAAGGGTATAAACCAAGTCCCATAACGCCATGCAAACAAAGCGTATGAACAGCACAGAGCGTAGGAAGAAGCAACGGACAATAAAAAACAGTCTAGATAGAAAATATTCACCGCATGGCCCCATTACAGTTAATAGGACGCCTAGGAGGCAAAGAGAAAGCAGAAAATGATATCAACCAATAGTATGGAGTATGGTAAATGTATGTAAAGATCCGTTAAAGGGAAGTAATGATCCGTCGAACGACCTTCGTGACCAATCGCCACGTTCCGTAAACATCATTCGGTGTGTCATGGAAATCAGGGACTGGTCACGAGTGGCGATATGGCATTAGAATGATATGCGTGAGATAGCCTTTAGCTTTAACTAGAAGAGCATGCTTAAAACACCGTGTGTTGAATGGAAGACCGTTACAATATTTATAGCACAAATATGTTAATATACATCATTCGCAGTATTATGGCTAAAATATTGTATTAGGCTAAAATGTTACTTTCATAGCTTATTCAGAACTATACAAAAATGTCCTAAACGAAAAGCTACGAATAATAACGATAAGTTTACTATTTGAATTTGTTTATTTATGTAACACGTATCTGAATATTCCAAAATTGAAACGAGGCATGGATTTGCACAAAATGTTACTTCTTTCCCATTGCAAAATATAAATAGTCTGATATAAGATCAAATGAAATGAAAATAGGCTACACATTTGACACAGACCTTGTCAAATGACACAGTTTAGTGAAACTTGAAGAAACTTGAAAACTTGAAAGTTTATAATTGCCAATGAACTGGAGATTCCCATTAAATCTATCCCAAATCCTATAAATCATTTGTAAAGTGTATTTAAACACACACACTTAGACTAAACTGGAGTTATTTTATACGTGCAGGTAAACCCCGGCAATAACACGCTTTTAGCCTTCTTGAGGGACCCACAATTGATTATACTGTGTCGCTGACTGGCGGTAAGATTCTATCGATTGTCGAAAAGGAAACCCAAATTAAAACAGCCCCGAGGTTCTTCCTTAATTGTCCCATATGGGTCTCAACAGGGGATTGGTAAACGCGTCACGAAACAGGTCACGTGACTTGGAAGTTTGGTCAAAATGATATAAATAGGTTTTGAATGAGAAAATTCACTGCATGTCTTGTAGCATTCCTGAAGCTCGCGAAACGCACGGCAACATTTTCAGAAGAAAACTCAGAGACGCTTTTGCTTAACTCCACCCCTTCAGCCGACTCCATCCCAATATTTCAGGCTATTTTGACCGATTAACGTTGACCTACGTCTCTTTGACGTGGACGAGGAAAGGGGAATGTAACGTCTATTTGATAAAAATAAAACGTTGTCTCAGTAATGCAAATGGAATGTCAAAAGTCTTAGAGGTTTATCGCTTGCTGAAACCCATGAGTATTATGCCGATTCTCTTTGGGAACAATTCCAAACTTGTCATGACCCAGTCCTCTGTTACCAGATACACAAGCTTCTGTTATATTAGGATAGTTCATCTCTTATGGTATTACAGATTTGCTTCTCTAACACGAACAAATAGGGTGGTCCTTTGAATGCTTTTGTAGAATATTTCCCATGGTTTCGATGCTAAGACAAGGGTTTCTAGTACACTGTAACGTCTCTGAATTTCCCTAGGTTTTGCCGATGTCAGCGAATGTAGATATGCCTTCTATATTAGCATAGTTAAACTCGTATCCAGGATCAGAATCAATACACCAGCACGTTCTAACCATCACTGTGGTCGATCAATTTGTCATTTTGATTGACATTCAGTGTGATAATTCAATTTTTCCACAGACTTCATTAAAAACTACAATCATTAGGAGCCAAAAAACTGAGGTTATAAAGATTTCATGTAATGGGAAAATATGCCTTGTAATTTCGACGGTGAATGTTTGACGTTCCCGCTGTTGGTAAATTTAAACTTGAAAAGGATTTCACCAGGACATGTCAATAATTTCTTTTTTTGTGAAAAGAAATGGCTATTCTGCCTAAGGGCGATAATTCAGTGTGTATGGGTGATTACACGGGGAAATGCCGAATACCAACCTTTATTGGGAGAATCAAATATACCCGTGAAAGTGGCTTCATTACACCTTGGGCACTGAGTTGGAATAGATTTAACATTTACATTATCGATCAAAGTAAATATCAAAGGCCTTTGTTAGTGAAAAATGCTTTCCGCAGAAAAAAGATCCATTGATTGTTGACACGAAGAAGCGTTGTAAGAGCTATGACTGGTTCTATTACAAACTGATGAATCGCTGAACATGCGCCACATACAACCACTAACCTTTCAGTCTTGAAGGCTTAGCCGGTATAATCTCAAAGGAACTGACTGAAGAGTCCTTCAGACTGAGAGAGTCTGCCGAGCTGTCCATCCGGGAACCAGACATACGACTATGCTGACTGTGAAGAGACTGATCCATTGCCCGAGCCCCGTCCATGAAACTTGGTGAAGGACCTTGGGAGATCCGATGAGCTTCCGGGTATCCAAGCGGAAGTGCTGCAGCGCCCTCTACTTCCGGTACCTCGTATCCCTGTAGGTCCACGCCCTAGAACAAGCATTAATGGCCGTGTTATTGTTGAGGGAGATTTGCCGTAATGAACGCAAGAATATGGGCGTGGTTCCGTTGTTATTGTAAGGAAACCGCTGGATTTGAATGGTACTTCTTGGATTTCAATGTTTATGGGTTGATGGGAGAATGTGATAGTTGGGCCTGGCGATATATCATAAAAGCTTTCAAATTGTTTATTGTATCAAGGACATTCTGATAATGCTAAGATGCCAATGGCCTCTGACAGTGTCATTGTTCAATCTGAAAAAGATTAAGAAGATGACGAGGCTGTACCCTTAGCATTGATAACACGATGTCTCCCAAGGGGATTATGAAGTAGAATTGCCCAGTGCATAAGTATATGTATTGGCTGCAGTTAAATAGCTGTACTTTGCTTCTGCGGCGTTTTACAAAATTCTAGTACAAACCATTAACAACATCTACAGGTAGCAACTAGTCCTAACATGGTGCTCTGATAACAGGACCAACATCAAGTGTAAAGAGGCAATGGTTCGTATCACATAATGAAAACTCCGTTTACGTTGAACAACACAACCTAATGCTGTTGTTGCGTTTGAAACATTATTCAAATTTTTAAGTTTACTTGAAACGACACAAGTAACAGTCTGGCTAGGAACAGCCTTATGCTGAGTTTTACAAAGTTATTCAAATATCTTTTACTTTAAACAACTGTCAAAATAAAAAAAAGAGTAAAACCAAATACAGAAAATATAAATACAGTGGTAAAATAAATAACTGTTCAACACCTTGGCCACAACAGCACCCGTTATACTAGATGAATGCAATTGTGTTTATACACCCTTTCTATCCATCCATTAAGATCAAGGCGGTTCTAAGTTCAGATTGGTTGTGTTGTTATTTAAAGCAGCACTCAGCAATATTCCAGCTACATGGCGGCGGTCTATAAATAATCGAGCCTGGACCAGCCAATCGAGTGATCAACAGCATGAGCCTCGATCTACCCAATTGAACATGTGTCAACCAAGTCAGAGAAACTGACCACCGATCCTGTTAGCCGCTTCTTACGTCAAGAATGCTGAAGACCAATTCTAACCCGGATCTTCACGGGTTCCTAAGTCAGATTATGACATACTTTCGAACTTAACTTGCTATTTTCGTATTGTTTTCGAGTATTGCACCGGGAATCTAAATGGTGTATAACGCACAGATATCGAATGTGAACTTACACACCCTTTGACTTAACTTGTTATTTTCGTATTGTTTTTGAGCATTGTAGTGTGAATCTAAACACATACATAAATACAGCGCATCATGCAACTAGTTTAAAGATGAAAATCAAAGCTGTACAACTTCCATACTGGTGTTCTTTGTCAGCATCTTTGCTTTTCATCAGCACCGCAAAATAATGTGAATGCTGTTCTATACAAATGTTTGAACTCTATATTATAATCTTCCCAAATACTGGATCTGGCTAAGGGCAAGGTCATGGGACGAATTCAAATCACTCCGACAATGGGTAACACACAATAACAGTCCAAGGTACAAGGATTGCAAGGTTTCAGCATCTGCACAGAACACTTTTACATTGTCCACTTGGAAGAGAGGTTAGAAATACCGCCCCGTGGGCGTGGCAATGGGACACAACGTGGGCCGATTAGCACCACAGTACTGGGGGTTAAGCACATGGTCAGCTGGGAAGAATGGGGTCATGTTCAAACGCTACTTGCCATCCTGTGTGAAGGCGAGAGATACATGGGAGAAAGCAGAGCCTGGTATAAAATAGCTCGTTCAGCCTCAGCGTACGTAGACATGAAATCCTGAAAATTGTGATCGTGAAAGACGCATGTGCAAGCTTGATATTACCACATTATATGTGTTACGAAAGAGTAAAAAGTAAAAGAATTGAAACGACAGTCAAATGACATGCTGTATGAAAGATAACAACATAAAACTTATAAAGCAAGACAATCAGCATTCTATAGAAACCAGTAGACAAATAATATCCTAAATATTCCGAAATGTTAAGAAATTAAAGTAAAAGTAAAGAAGTAGAAAGGTACGCGGCCGAGGTGTACATGAAAGAAATACCTCACTACGTTATACATATACTGACGAACAAAAGAAAGTATACACTCATGTTTGATGGTTGCTAATATACAACGAAGGTTATTTGATCGTAATGCGTTTATACGGGTGTCATGATTGTGGTTTGGGCATTAGCTTGGCACTGTGTTTGGCGACTGCTCTTAGCATAGTAATGTTTTGATAATGTTTGGAATTGTCTGGTAACATTTTTTTCAAGTGTATACTTTCTTCATGTGTGTTTGCGTTGTGTCAAAGACTAGTAACTCTGGGGTGCTTATCCCAGTATGAGCGACTACTGCCTGTAATAAATCCTCGATAATCTCCAGGGTATACGTTCCGATAAATCTCCACTATATAGTACTTTGGATGTATCTACGGCTTGACCCGATAATTGTATTACCTCCCTTTGCTGGCTTTTTAACCAATCAGGTGTCTACGCTGGGAAGCTGAGCTTACCAATCACAAGGCTTTTGTCATAAGTCACTTTCGCTTCTTTTATCTAACAGATTTAACTTGGCAACACAATTGTAGCAGAGGTACCCTGGAAGAGGTAGAAGGAGTTCTTGCGTATATTTTTTAAGGTTTCAGACCTGTGAATTTGTCTGTATGATTTTTTCCCTACATCTGAGTCACACAGTGTGCAACCCTTCGCGGCTGCGGCCGCCATCTTTGTGGACACTCGCAAGCTCGGTTTGTAACGGCTTATCTGATTGGCATCTGTGAAAAGGCGGAGCCATCGAAGCGAGGTAACACTATTGTCGGGCCGAGCCTTAGATGCATCCAGGGTACTAGTAAAGATTTATCGGAACGTATACCCTGGAGATAATCGAGGATGGCTGCAATACTGACTATAGTTTGTAATTAGTTTGCAAGGTACCTCTTCGCGGGGATCCAGTTGTCCCTCCAACTCTCGTTCTAGGGGTAGTTCCGCTTCCGGGTGGTAACCATGGTACCACAGACCCGTGCTCATTATCAGTCGTCGTCGCTTTTCACAGACAAAACACACCCATTCCTGAGCCTGTGAACAAATTGATCAGTCGTTAACCATGTTATTGATCAGTCGTTAACCATGTTATTGATGAATTACACTCAAGCATAATAACGCGGAATAAACTCAACCATGACCTCAGTAGAACCTTTTGAATACCATTCTTGTGATGGAGTCAATATATTGACGTCAAGGTTCACGGATATAATGAACGAATCTCTTTCGGCGGCTCTTCACAGAAACACATTTGGCTTATTATGAATGATCTCATATTGCATTGCCAATGCATGGACTTGACCTAGGATTGGAGAGTCTATTCTAATGCATTGTCCACAGCTTCAACAAACACATGTAACTTTGATGGCTAGGGGATGATTATCTTTGTAGTCCACTAGATGAAGGATTCGATTTCAGACAATAAAACAACACAGGTGCGCTGGAAGGCACTGATAGCACGCACTGATATTTGTAGTCGTAAATTTGTCGATGAATCACGATTTCCCCCCTAGTGAAGAAGGCCGGATCAAACATGAGAAAACCAGCATACCTCATGGACAGACACGGTTTATTGGATGTATTTCGGAAAAGGTTTTAATAAAGAGTAAATATACTGGCTCTGTTATTAATTACTGTTGTGTGGCTATTATTTCAGAAGATCTCCCTTTATAAAAAAAATATACAATGTTTTCTCTCTTTTCAAAACAACACTTCGGTCGACATCATTACGGTGACAACGCCAAAATACCTTGGGGAGTCAATCTGGTTGAACAAGGTCTTTTGAATTATACTGAATAAAGAATTATATTTCATTGATGTTTATGGCGAGCCTTTGAACAGCATTTTCTTCTTTATGGCTTCAACATAATGAAAGTCATGAATATGGCATTGTTCTAATAGCAAAAAACAAGAGTGGGATGTTATTGGTGGTCAGGTCAGCCTGGTCTTGATTTATCACCTTATTTACTGCCCCTTGTGAACTGGGATGATCAGTGGAACAGGGTTAGGTCTTAGCCAATACACGGCAGCCGGAACAAATTGTACATATTGCATACGGGTCCTGGTGGTGCGCGTTAACCGTACCTGCCTCCGAATGTCAGCGTGGGCACGCCAATCCTCCATAGTTTGTTTTGAGTGTAAAATATGATAACAGACTGGTTTGCTGATGTATATTGTTTTCGAGAGCGTTTCTGATTGGTTTCATTGGTCACAGAGGACCAAGGAGGGTCGTCCAATCACAGCCAACGATAAACACGAAGGTAGACAGGAGCCCATTCAATATCCCTGTTGTAGCTCCTGCACTGTTGATAAACACCCGGCATTTCCAATCCACATCCTTTTGATTAACCTGTCATTGTCTACATTTAGTGTTTAGCACGGTGTGGTATTTGCATGTGCATATGAAAACTTACGATCCAGTTTCGACTGGTGTTCGAATACTAAAACGGAAACGCTAACATTTCCGTAATCAAATGGCAAACACATTCTTGTAACATTTGAAAATCTGAAAAAACTGAATCCCGAATGTATAATCTAAATGAGCTATTTATGTAAATCGCCACACACTCGTTTTTTAATATACCTCTCTCACAGTAAACAGGAAAACATCCTCCAAACATCACAAATTAAAAATATTTCAGCTGCAGTCGTTAGTGAATTCGTTTGTTTTAAATCCACTTTAATAAATCATTACTCCCTGCCCACATGATCTGCGCGCGCATGTAGCATCATGTATATGAAAAGAGTGAGTGAGTTTAGTTTTACGCCGCACTCAGCAATATTCCAGCTATAGTGCGGCGGTCTGTAATAATCGAGTCTGGACCAGACAATCCAGTGTTCAACAACATGAGCATCGATGTGTGCAATTGGGAACCGATGTCGTGTGTCAACCAAGTCAGCGAGCCTGACCACCCGATCCCGTTAGTCGCCTCTTACGACAAGCATGGGTTACTGAAGATCAATATTCTAACCCGGACCTTCACGGGTCGTATATGAAAAGATATACATGCACGTGCACTAAACACCCTTTGCATGTTACGCACAGCAAACACTTACTACGCGTATGCACCTACATGTGCACACATGCACGCTCACACAGCACTTGCGTACATTAAACGTAAACGTCAAACATCAATGCACGTCAAAACAGCACCTGCACGTGCATATAACACATACACGTGCTCACAGCACCTATTTCACATGTAGTCACAGCGATCACTCAGCATCTCTCCTCCACAAACTCCCAGGAATCTCTCCATCAGAAACACAATATCCCGTTGCGGTGGCGAGAACTTGTCAACACATGAACACTGTCCATCAGACTAGTGTCAATTGCAGGTCAGCTCATGTACATAGCAGCGCCAGGAGAGGGCTTTAATGAATACGCCAGTACAATGGTAATGTGCATTGTCGTATATATCCGGACAGACCACACCGGAGGATATTAACACTATCGCCTCGTATAACACACCCAGTTAATACTCCACACATGGCGTGGCAATGGACATCAGAAGGAAATTAGCGTGCATGACCATTGGCAAAATTGTTCATCATCGCTAACTTTGACAACTATTAATCAACTGCCCTGCATATAATTTGCAAGGATTCGCAGATATGACATGCTATTCCTATGCTGATTATTTGGTACTGCTCACTTCAACGGTTAATACCTTTTTGAGTTGTGGGTTATTTGGTATGTGTGTATATGTAAATTAGATCAAGGGGACCACTAAATTTAGTTCGTTATAACCGTAGTTTAGTTCGATTAAAACATACAGCAAATGATCGGGATAAAAAGTCAGTTCGTTATATTCACGTGTTCGACATAAACGTATGGTGGGTTGACTGTTTCGAAGGCCTGACTGCCATAACACACCCATGGTATTAACTCCTACCTCTACCCCCAGCTCCATTATACACCCCCATGTCAGACTGTCCTCATTAAATATACATGACTTTATGCATCACGCTTTCGTTGTATCCGTTATCTACAGATCGCTCCGAAGTCGAAATCACTGTAATGAGTTGCGCCCCTTATGCGTGCCAGGCGCCTATGATCGTGGGTTGGATTTCCTGGTAGTTGTCTATTTATTTATATGTTTGTCAGAAGCACATCCGTACACGTGGGTTTCATCAAAGTGACACACATCCATGACCGACATGATTCCACGCTTTCCTCCCACAACAAGCTGGGATTTAACTATAAAACTGTTCAAATCGGCATTAAACCCCACTCACAAACTCATTATTTCTGCATCTTTTTGTTAATAATATCCTCTTCCGCAACAATCATCTCCCGACAGACTGCATCTCGCCTCTTCATATTAACACCCATCTGATCCAGCCATATCTCCCATCCTCATTTCACAATAGCAAGCCTTAGACATCTTCATACAGAGTGGGTGTGTTTCCCCGACCATACATTCAACCTACACCCTGATTAAACTGGTACAACTGGACTACTTTTCAAGGCAGTTTAAAACCCAAAGTCCACAGAAAGGACAAAGAGTTAAAAGGTTTTAAATTGAAGAGTTCATTAATTGTGTGAAATACTACCTGCTCTCGCCGAGCTCTCAGGTGGAAGTTAACGGATTATGTTAACCCCTGCATCAGGCGTCATGGAATAAAACCCTAATGAAAGATAATGTTTTGACGTGGGCTGGGATTTCCAGTTGTTGGACTGACGGTGTTTCTCTGGTTTCAGTCCAACTTCAAGGAATGTAGCAGTACAAACACCTGCTCGGTTGCAATATAATGTTGATACATGGCATAGTCTGTATGATGAACACGTCTGTGCATGTAATTATTATTCTCATTTATATAGAGCTAGATACACTTTTCCCTATCTATAAGAACAACTAGCAGATGGATATTACTTGGATATACAACTTATTATCATCATCATAACCATTATCAACAGTATCACCCCTATCATCATCAAATTAAAGGAAGGTGCTAGAAGGTAAATATAATGGAGAGCACAACCTAGAAACGTACAAGTGCATCGACAACGGCATAGGACCATATTACTCAGTCAGAATAACTCGCCAGGACACCAGCTAAATCTAGGACTAGCGGTCCCAACGAGGGACTGAATTGTTAAGATTGTTCCTTTCTTGTATCAAAATGATTAAGTCAGTCCATCAACCTAGGCGACGAACACCTGAGAACAGGCTGAAAACGTCCACAAACACAGTCTTGCTGTCGCGCTGGAGTTGTCGATCTACTTTTGTCGTTGAGGAGGTTTCATTATGTCCCTACTCCAGACCCTAAGGAACCGACAATTACACACCCTGAAACCCTAGGATGCTACTGCAAAAGTTTTGCCTCGGAAATAATTAATAGCAAACTGTTTTAGAAGTTTGATTGGCATTTTAGAAGATTCTATTTGCTGAACATGGAGACTTTTTCTGGGTTTCATTTTCTTTTTATTGTTTGGTACAACGTTTCAGGGCTTGTTCCGGTCCTGACTGTGACGTCACGGGTAGAGTTAACAGTTACTGTTCTTTAGTTCTACCTGATGATGGGGCCAGAACAAACCCTGAAACGTTGTACCAAACAATAAAAAGAAGATGAAACCCAGAAAAGTCTCTATGTTCAGCAAACTGTTTGTCCGTAGGTTTTATAAAAACAAGATCTTTCATTGGCTGTTCTAAAAATAATGTTTCCATTCTCAAGGGGCGATGTGGTAGTCTAGTGGTTAAAGCGTTCGCTCGCCACACCGAAGATCCGGGTTCGATTCCCCAATGTGTGAAGACCATTTCTGGTGTCCTTCGCCGTGATATTGCTGGAATATTGCTAAAAGTGGCGTAAAACCATACACACTCACACGATTCTCCCTAAAATTGTTCAGCTCAACTTCAGAGAAATACAACATCGACCTCCTGAAACGCTGACCGAACACATTCTGTCACAAACTAAAATCTCTGCCATGGCTTTCATTGGTCGGGTCCTAGTAGCAAACCCGTATTTGGAACCCCTACCAAACAGCCTACTCGGACCATTTACGAGGGCCCAACACTTGCCAATGCTCG